CGTGTCGGGGCGGCGACAGTGGGGAGCAGCCCAGGACGAGGCGAAGCCGCAGCACCCCCGGCCCCGGTGGGACTTGGGGGCCTGGGGACCCACAGAGGAGCAGCTGCTTTTCCGGGCTGTTTACTGAAGGCACCCCTCTCCCGGGTTGCCGTGGTCCCGCTCGGGCTCCTCTAGAACCCCGCAAACAGAGGACCTAGCAACCGGGCGCCCGGGCGGTGCCCCTGGGCGGTGCCCTCCCGAGAGATGCCAAGGATGCATCCGCGGGGCCCCGTGGCGCCAGTTCAGGGCGCTCATCTGACCGCAAAACAGAGCATCTGGAGTCATTGAAGGGGCTCCTCGCGTCTTTTATACCAGCACCTCTCGGAGCAAAGAATACAAGACTATCCCAGGCAGCTGGAAAGTTAGGAAATAAAAGCCAGCGCGGCTCCATCCTTTGTAGATAGAGCCTGGGAAGTCAGGGACAGGGGTGAATCCCAGAGTTACTGCTCAGAAAACGCTAAGCCACAGTCGTTTGGAGAAATGTAGATTTAGGAAATCATTGTAGCATACAGATCTATAAAAGATGGGTAAATACATTTTAAAATATTTGGGGTTCCTTGTTCTCCATTTCAGAATCAGTGTCTTGGGAACTGGGAAGGAACGATGTCCTTATCGGAAATGAAATGGATAGAACTGGAGGCAAGTCCCCGCACTGTCATCCCTTGGATTTTTGTGAAAGCACTTTTGTGGTCCCTGCCCCAGGTTATCCATGTTCATTTCAGACCGGGATACAGATGGAAACAAATGTATAGTTTTTGTTATAGATGGGGGGCGGGGCGGGGGGAGAGAGAGAAAACAGTGTTGGCAACTACCTATAAAATATAACTTAAGGGAGCAAAGAAAAATTTCTATGGTTTCTCCCAAACCATAGAAAATTTCACATTAAAAAGCCATTTTTCTCTGGATAAAGGTTTTGTCCTCTTTTGAGTAAATTAACATAATGTTAACAGAAACTGAGCTCTTACTATACACCGAACACTGCACTGAGAGTATTTCCAGTTTTATTCCTTTATTTATTCTTCTATAAACTCCTGTGGAACTGGTAATATTGTCGCTATATTTTTATAGAGAGAAACTAGGCTAAGGGAGTTTGCTGTTGTGGGTTTACATCTCAGACTGAGTGGCAGAGCAGTCATTGCCATCTGGAATTTTTAACTAGTTCCTTTCCACCAGAAAACCTCTGGGAAACATACAAAAATCCTGATCATGTCCATGATTGGCACTTGAATGTTTATTCTCCCTTTGTGGAAACTAGGTTTCACAGTGCAGACAGGGACCCTTAAGTATCTAAGATGAACATCACCCTTAGGTCAGAAACAGGGATCAGAAGGAAGAGGCTGGAGTTCACTCAGAGCTAGCCTACAAAGGTCAATGTGAAAAATGCACTGGTAGGGTCACATGAGGGTGAGGAGGAATTCCTCATTACCTTTTTGTTAATCATTTTCACTATCATTTACAGTAGATTGCACTTTACACTTAAACTAATATTACCATATTAGATATTATACTTTACACTGTTGTTCTTCCAGTTCCGGAGTTTTTAAATGGACCTAATATCATATGCCTTACCAGAATTTAGAGAAGTAATGGGGCCTTAATGACTTAAGGGAAGCTTTTTGAAAAATATAAAATTAAATGAAATTGTTACCCTATGTTGTGCCATTGTTATTATGTTAACTTTTATTATAAATGTTTGCACTTTAGTACCAGTGCAACAGAAATCCCCAGGGCTCCATGTTGTTGAAGAGCGGAGCACTAAATTCCCAGGGAAGCCATGCAGCTGTAACTCTCCGCCGGAATGGCATCAGCCTCAGAAATGTGTGATTCGTCCCTCCATGCACAGTAGTTTCATTTTCAAAGGAGACAACAAAGGAACAGAATTGGAATAGGTAGACAAGATGATGTTGGAATTAGTATTCTCTGTCTGTTGACAGGGATGTAAGAAAAGAGGATAAAGTCTTGGTGGTCCACCTGAGACCAAGCTGAGAGTTAGAACCTGATCAGTGATAAACCTTGATAGACTGGTGACATCTTCAGCCATCTCCATGTATAAGTTGACTTTACTAGAGGGCATGTTTCTGAGTGAAGGACAGGGAAATTTTGTGCCAGTAGCTGTGAAAAACTGTCAAAAGCAATAAAGGGCTAGTGTGGGGCCTGCATCCCCTGCTCTCCCACAGAGACTTCCAATGGTTTTGAGCCCCCTGAGGATGGGAATTAGGGCAGAAACTGAGGAATCATTTTCACAAATGACTTTGTGGCATTTAAGGTCTAAGAAATACTGCTTTGGGCCCTGGTGACTAAGTACAGCACAGCGGGGCATTCTCTCTGGGTCTGCCATAGTCTTCTGTGCAGCCTTGCCACTGATACAGAAAGGCTCTGCCCAATGAAGGCATCTTATCCTATCTAATAGGATAATTGACCATCACCCCCTCACAAGATGATGGTGCCCACAGCCACAAGATGGTGGTGCCCAGTCCCCTCAGCCCCTCCTCATCCAGCCTCAGTCCCCAGTCCCCTCAGGCCCCCCTCATCCAGCCAGAGTCCCCCAGTCCCCTCAGCCCTGCAGGGAAAGGCAGTTGGGAGCGATCGGGCTGGCAGAGGAGGGCAGTTGGGGAGATCATGCTGGCAGGGGAGCAGTAGGGAGCAGCAGTCAATCAGGCTGGCAGGGGAGTGGTTAGGGGGTTATCAGGCAGGCAGGTAGAGTGGTTGGAGGCAATCAGGCATGCAGGCAGGCGAGTGGTTAGGAGCCAGCAGTCCTGGATTGTGAGATCGGACCTAAACCGGCAGTTGGACATCCCCTGAGGGGTCCCAGATTGGAGAGGGTACAGGCTGGGCTGAGGGACCCCCCATCCCGGTGCACAAATTTCATGCACCGGGCCTCTGGTAGTCTCATAAAGGACACTGCTGACAAACCCAGGGTCAAAATAACTTGACTCAGAGCAATAGCGCATGAGTGGGATTGTTCCTGAGAACCTGAGGGTACAGCTGAGGATTTCCTGTCATAATGAGGGAGCCTGGGTAGGGGGAGATGATTATTAAATTGAAGATGATTGTTAAACATCATTTTAGCAGTGATATTAAGAGTCTAATTAGGACAGCATCAAACTTATGTCTTAATTTTTAGAAAATTCACATATTTACAACACTAAGTCATTACATTCAAATGGTAATAGACTTTTCTATTTGTTTGTACTTTTGTCTTGCATTTCCCAAAGATGTTTTCATAGTTTTGTTCATATATGTTCTTCACCTTTCTTATAAATTTATACAAATTATTTTCTTGTATTTGTCTTCCCAATGCAGTATATTCTTTCCATTTCCTTTTCTAGGTGCTTTTGCCTGAATAGAGAGGGATTGGTTATTTCTATAGATTATTTTGTATTCACCCAACACACCAAATTCTCTTATTTGTTTTTTCACAAGAGTCTCTCAGGTTTTCTAAAAAACAAACAAACAAACAAACAAAACAACCATGACATATCACCAGCAGCAGGAACCATATCTCTTTTTCCAATACAAGTGATTATAGTGATGCCTGTCTGATTCCTGGTTTTAAGTGAAAATTCTAATTTTTGCCATTTAAGATAATGTTGAGAGTGGGCATTTCTATATTTTTTAATTTCAGAAAATCTTTCTTTTTATCAAATTTATTGGAGTGTCACTGGTTTAAAAAAAATATAGGCTTCAGGTGTACAATTCTCTGATACATCATCTGTATATTGTATTATGTGTTCACCACCCCAAATCAAGTCTCCTTCCATCATCATTTATCCTGCCTACACCCTCTTCTACCTCCCCTTACCCTCTCTTCTTTATTTTGTAAGTAATTTCCTGCTGTTCCTATTTTGCTTCCAGTTTTCCTTGGCATGAATTTCTTGACCTTTATCTGATGTCTTTTCCCCCTCCCCCACTGATAATGGTTAGGTTGTTTTCCCTTTAATTTTTAATGTAATCAATATGTAGATAGACTTTCTGGAAAGGAACTGCCCTTTCATTCCTCTAATACAGCCTGTTTTGTCATAGTGTATTACTTTTCTGATGCATTTCTCTATTGTATCCTCTAATACATTGTGTAAACATTTGGCATTCATAGATATAGGTGAAATCGGCCTGCATCTTTAATTGTTGTTGTTGTTGTTGCATTCCTTCTTTGGCTTTGGTATTTGAGGTATTTTGGTTTCATAAAATTAACTCAAGAGCTTCCTATCTTCTTCTAAGACCCACAGTAGTTTAAATAATATTGGAATTATCTGTTCTTTAATGGTTAGATTAAAAATTCAACTGTGAATCCATCTGCCTGCTGCTTTTTCAATAAGAAATCATTTATCACTTCTCCAGTCTCTTCTATAATAATTGGTCTATTCAAGTTTTCACTAATTCTGGGCCATTTGTGATAATGTATGTTTTGCTAGGGAAATATTTATTTCTTCCAGGTTTTATTAGTTTATGTACTCTCCAGAGTCATCTTTAGTATTTACTTAGAATTCTTTTAATCCTTTTCCTGCTTTTACAATGTTAATCTTATCTAATTTTTATTTAATTCTCTTTTCATAATCAGGCTCACATGGTATTTATCTGTTTTTATTGGTCTTTTTAAAGAATCAGTCTTTGAATTTATTATTCTTTTCTGCTATTTCATCTATTTTAATAATTTCAACTTTTATCAATATTAATTACCCCTTCAAAGTTTCTTTTGTTTT